TATATATACTGACCTAAAATTATCAAGTTGAATCTGGTCCATCTTCTTTCTTCAGCTCAACACAAAAGAAGATATTTTGAAGAACGTTGGCAACCAAACAGTTGTCAGTAGCCATTGACTTCCATAGTATGGAAAAAAAATACTATGGAAGTCAGTGGCTATACCAGCAATTGTTTGGTTACCAGCATTCTTCAAAATATCTTCTTTTGTGTTGAGCTGAAGAAAGAAACTCATACAGGTTTGGAACAACATGAGAGTGAGTAAATGACGACCAAATTTCACTTTTTTTGGGTGAACTGTTCCTTTAAATTATTTTGATAAGTTCAAGCAACGGAAAAACATATGTTACCAAGTCGTATTGATGATATATATATTTTTTTTTTACAGAGAAATGTAACATGTCTGTTTCTTTCAGAGGGTAGTGCTGAAGAGTTTCACAGAGAAGAAGGAAAATGAGCAAGCAGCACTGTGGCTTTCCAAGTAAAGTTCTGTGATACACTCCGACTCTTAATTGTTTGCAGTCAGTGCATTACAGAACTTTGTTTTGGGAGTTTAAAGCTCAAGCCTGGAGGAAACAATCATTCCATCTGGATGAAGCTGTAACGGCCCCTTGAAAACAGCAGTAAACTCCACACCCTGTGTCCCTCAACAACATTATCATCATCTCCTGCCTTTACATGATCATTCCTTTAGCTTTAACTGCTAACGAACATCGGAAACAGGAGCGGACATCCTTTGAGTTCGGGCATCACAGATACACCGATGCATTTATGTGTTATTTCTATGATCCTTTTTCAGAATGTGTTCTCCAAGCGCTCAATTAGCATAGCGGAGGCTATACCACAACTGCTAAATGTCTAAAAATAACCGTTGCACAGTAACACACCACTTTCCAATTAGGCATTCCATTCCGTAACCTCAGTAAACACAAAAATGTGGCATTTTCCATTGTAAAAATTATGCATCTCATATTTACGAGAGAAAGCACTTTAAATGGAGAGCCTACATGTTTGTGATGACATCATTAGACCCACAGGAGGCAGACTAGTTACTCTCACGGTCACATGACTCAGAAGGACACAGGTAATGGCACTATAAGTGGGTTAACAGGCCTGACATGCGTCATCCATACTGTTTTTTTTCTTCTAAGAGGACAGAGAAGACATTTTATTGGCCCTGACAGAACAGATTTTCAGTCATAAATGTGATTCTGAAATACTAGTATGCAACATGCAAAGTATGCATCTGGGAAATAAAAGTGATAAGTTTTGTTGAAGTGCATTTAAAGTACATCTGTGACTGATTAGTCAAGCACATAAAGATTGAAGCGGCACAGATCCCATTTAACCCATGAGGGTGCTTCGCATAAGTTCAGAATAATCATTTATAAACACATTGACGGACTGCTGACATATGTCTCATTAAGTATGGTTTCTGAATGTGATGCTATCATGTCAATTTCTGATCATTTAATATTCTTTCAGAGATGTATTTATTCAAAATGACTATCTTTGGCATCCAAGAGTTTACTACACCTGAAGAAGCCCTTTATGTTGAAGTGATTTATGGTTCTTCACACCTGCAATTTCAAAGCAAGGTTCTTTATGGAACACAAAAAATGTGGCAAAAGTAGTTTGTTGTTGTTACAAGCTAAATCAAACTGCTGTTTAGAATGTATTCTGACTACATTTTGATTACTTTTAGATTATTTTTGATCTAACTCGTTTATCACATAGATTTGATTAGTATTATTATGTACTATATTGACATAAAAAATATATATATATGTAATATATATATATATATATATAAATAAAATAATTTGTATTGTGCATTAAACATTAAAGCTTTTCAAAGACATAACACATGGTTAAACTGACTAATTATTAAATTATGAATAATTGTGTGAATAATGTCATCAAAATTAATAAAAACTACTATTA